GCTTCAATGTAGCAAAATTAGATTACTTTTTGATGGCTGCTTAAAAACTTATAGTGCATAGATAGATAACTTAAAATATAGTGACTACAGTTTTATTTTGAACATCTAATTTTATTCGCGATACATTTGCATGCAAAACTTAAAAGATTTTTAAAATAAACTTAAAACTTATCACATTTTTTTTGGGTGTGTATACTGTTAGTCGGAAATGACCTTTACAGTGTCACCGGGTTTAAAAGATCACAAACATTTAAATGATCGATGGACATATTTATAGTTAAATCACAATTTATTTTTACTTCGGAATTCGCGATAGGGTTTATAAATATACAATTATGGAAGATTAGTTTTTTCCGGATGCAATGTTAGGCACACGTTTAACGTTAGACTTTAATGAAATTTATCAACTATTTTTCGTATAACTTAATTAATGACAGTTAATTTACCAATACTATTTGAACCACGCAGGTGTATATCAAAATTTTAATTATGCAGAAGAAAATAGTACAATATTATTTAAAAATAAAATGGGTAAACCTTTTTCAACTTGATTAAAAAAATATAACAATTAAAAATGTTTTACGTATTTCTCAATTTAGCAGTAGTACTTAATTACTGACAATAGACAAGAATTTTATTATATCTTGGTTAGTCAAAATAAATTAAAATGTCTTCAATTTAAGGTCCTTAAAGTGAAGCGTGAAGAAGCATTCCTGTAGGCCGGCAAGGTAAAGATGATTGGTGTGGCAGTTTATAACTGCTGTACCAGCTATCTTCGCATTTGGACATAACATCAGATGGGGTCAACATCTGAAGAGTCATATGCATCCTTCCATCCTTCTCTTCTTGAAAATTATGAGAAGTCATTACCTTACTACAGTTGATAAAAGATGTTGCCAATTATTTACAGAGTCAACAATTTCGCATTTTATTAGAATCTTTCTTCTCATTTTTCTGGTTAACTTTTCACAAAAAGTCTTTTTAAAGCAAAAATAAATACAAATAATTTGTTATCGTCGGCCTGACAGGAAATCTGCGAAGTTATATTTTGTCCATTTACAAAAATTAAAGGATTAATCCTTGTCTCAATCTCTCTTCAAACAGCCTTGTCTCAAGCCTAATCAGAATAATAAAATCTATTATTTTAGGGCTTCCGTGATTTGTTGTAACAAAAATTAGGGCTAAATAATTATGTCATATTTTGAAGGAGTTTAGAAATAATATTGTTTATTTCGATATACTTACACAGATATTTATTGTATACATTTATTGTTAATTTATTTTGTAAAACGGAACATTTTGCTTTTGAAACAGACATGGAAGTAAATTTTTATACTTTTAAATAGTTGATTATAACTCGAAAGTAGTATGAGAATAAAAAACACGTAATAATTAATAAAAAAATATTGTAAAGTTACGGGCTAGTGCGAAATATTTCTATACGTTAAGGGCAGTTTCTTATCCATGTCCTTTTATCATTAAACAGGATCCCATGGAACAGAAAAACATCGCGAGGCAGCTTCCTGTAGTAAGTAGATTTTGCCATGTTTTGTTTCTATCTATTGTTAAAAATTAATTGATTTTCATAGTACTTATATTATAATATTGATAAAATTTTCTTAACAGGCTTCCTTCCCTTATAAACAACCACCCAAAGCTGCTTTAAAAGAGTCGTCTCCTGGAGTGAGTAACAGTGTAATATTCCTAATAATATAATATGTAATTTAATATTTTTATTTTAACATCGATTTTTTCGATCCCTTCAGTATTATCCCGTTTTTCTTTCCCGAATTCGGGAGTACGTATACAACTTCGACTACAAGGCGCTGAAAGTATGTTTTTAAAAAGGTTCATAGTTTTTCCGAAAAAAAATTAATAGGATGATGATGATGATGATGAAAAGTCTATATGATATGGTGGGCGTTTACCATCAGACGGACTATGGCCCGCTTGTTTGCCACTCTTTTAAGATTTAAAAAATATTTATATTTTTATTTCAGTTTGAAGGCTACTGGGGCTCGAAGCCCAAACAAGAGGTAAGCGAGTAATTGTAAAGTAAATTATTACCATGATCCTCAGCCTTAAGGCACGAAATAGATAGCGCAGAAGGTAATCTCATGAATGCACTTCAGTTTTCATATCTACGCTATGATCTAACTTTGGATTATGCACTAAAAAAATCGTGGTACGTGCTACGTACACTCGCACGTAAGTATCTGGTTGTTTAATTTATTGGGGAGAATGAAACAGTAAGAATGGAAATGTAAACCAACAATGACAAAATCGTTCAATTTTAATGTTATACTTAAATTAGGGTCAAACCAAAAAAATGACGACTCACCGTTTAAATTTGAATTCCTTTAATTTTAACATTAAACGATGAATATTGTTGTCTACTGAACAGTTATAACTTTTTTTGTTTGCTCTATTTTTGCACCAAAAGAGTTCACAGAGGCGTGTCCCAAGCGGATGGAACTCGCGCTCGCATTTGTCCCAAGCGGTCCGAGATATCGTGACCGTGAGCGGTGTCTAACGTGTGCGTTGCTCGAGCACACTTTGTAGGTAGATTACTTTCTGTACTATCTATTTTGTACTATAAACGTCTCCACCTATGGCACACAAGGCTTCGCATCACGCTGACCCAGTGAAGATTGGTGGATTTCACAGATATAGATCAAAATAAATAACGCAAAAGTCTGTACTTCGCATGCCAAAAGGGAGATCAATTCTCTTCCATTTATACTAATTTATTTCTACGCGTCGACGTTCCCGACATTAGACGCCAATCGTAATGTTTAAAAAATATCTAATTATGTCATAATTAAGCTGTAAAAACGATATAATTGAAATAGCGACATAATTGAAACAGGCTATGCTTTGTCAACACTTATTTGTTCTCGTTACTACTCAAAACTTGACACGCTCGGTTTCCATACAATTTGAATACATGCGGCGTCTATTTCAATCTAGGTATGTAGTGTGAAGCACCTTAGGACCCCAACTTCCATCGGTTCACCGAATAATGTGCCCCGCCCATCGCCACTTCAGCATGGTGATCCGTTTAGCTTTGTTGGTTACTCGAGTTCTTCTACGAATTTCCTTATTTCTGATTCGATCACGTAGAGAAACACTAAGCATACAGTTTGTCTATAAAGTCGTGACATTAAATGATGGCGCCACTAGTATGCATGTAGCAACCCTATACAGTCGGACCAAAATGATTTTGATACTAGCAGTTCATTCAATTAAAATAGGTGATTAATAAGACACACTATACAGTCGTATTTTGTTTCTGTTTTATATATAGTAGGTTCCTACGCTTATAAAAAGTTTAGCCAAGCAAATTTTATTGAATCAGAATAAAATTATTATAGATAAAATAGTACTTTATAGTGTAAAAGTGTGTAATGTTGGTGATTACCGCTGAGGTGCCTTTGAGACCAGAGCCGTTAGGTAATCATCAATACACACAAGTATCATCATACGACGTTTTTTAACACACTTGTTAAGAAAATAATACGATCATTTTATAGTATATAAAAAGTTTATTTAGAGAAACAATTTGTAAATGTGCAGTATCTTCACTAAAAGCATCTGGCCATGGTTCTTTATATGACCATTTCTTTCTTTGGTCGGCCTTGCCTGTTTTCCCAGGAGTTTCAAATTTTTCATCATTCTTAAAACCTTGGTTGACTATCCGACTCTCTGATTTTCCTGAAAAAAAGTAAAAAAATATGTAACGGAATAGAAACAATAACTTATTGACATGAAGCAATTAATTCAAAATTGGTAGAAAACCTGACCGAGTTGAACCATAATAACGTATCAAAAGAAATGGGCGTACTACAATATTACCTATTTACAATGTTAATATAACCTAAAAATGTGCAATGTAAACAATGCCTTTTTTGGTCTCAAAATCGTAAATTGAGTAAATTTGTAACTTCAGGCAGATTACAAACAAATAGTTACACGATTACATACCCGTCATAGATGCTGTTCGCCCATAAACATCATCCAAATCCCACAAAATTCGTCCAGCTTGGTAGTCTTCGAAACATCGCTGGAAAACTTTAAAAATCACTTCCCGCGTGCCACTCCGATTTACTTTACTCATTTTTATTTATTTATTTATTTATTTATTTATATCAAATACTTATATCTATTATTACAGGTATATACCCAAGGTATATATATTTTTATACCTTTCTGCGTAGTTTCGTCTTAATTTATTACAGTTTAATCCAAACAATAAAAAATACAAAAAGAAAACTGTTCCACAACTGAAACTCGATGACAGCTGATGTACATAAGTTTGGTGTTGCCAGACACATGAATAATGTTAGTTCCTCAAACATTCATGTCACGACTTTATAGACAAACTGTAGCTCTCTCCATCGCTCGCTGTGCGACTCCGAGCCTTCTTATAAGGCCTATTATCAACAACCACGTCGCAGTCTCAGCGTCTCAGCGAGTCGTGGTGACCCACGGGATGTGGATCAGCTCAGCATCGCTGCGTTTGGAGATCCCTAGAGGAGGCCTATGTACAGCATTGGACGTCCATCGGCTGATTATGATGATGATGATGATGTGGTGTGTGATAACGTCTGCAGATGCATGTCAACCACTGCGTCATCGAGCTCCTCAAACGGACAAAATAGTATTTATCCTTTAGTATGTATAATTGTTCGAACTTTCAGTCCCACCATGACACGCTTGGCATTCAAGCATCATGCGATAAACGCGTTCATTTTTCTCGCGTACTAGCAAGATCTGGAACCAACTTCCCTGAGCGGTTTTTCCTTTCAGCTATGATGTAGCAGTCTTCAAGAGGCGGGCAAACCAAATGGTGTGGTAACGCTAGAGTGGTACGTTTGCTGCTGCAAGTATCCATGGGCGGCAGTAACCACTTCATCAGGTGGACAGTCAGATCGTTTGCTTGCATCAACATGAAAAAGGCTGAAGTTTTCCTTTAAAACATAAAATAATTTACTATTTTCAGAGTCCTAAAGACAAAAACGATCAACTGAGGAGTGGCAACATGAAAGGATTTGTGAGTAAATAAGTATATTACCCGAATCCGAGCAACTGCATTGTACCCGATAAGAATTTTTCTAGCACATATTTTGTTTAGGTTTAAAAGTTGATTGCTTAAATAATTGTGTAGTTTCATGAAACTAGGATGCAAGTGAAACTTTTAGTGTTTCACATTGCCTGTTTTTTTATTATTTATTTTACTCTCTGGCTTATAAAAAGTAAAAAAAGAAATATCTTCGACTGGGAATCGAACCCAGAGTGGGTTGGCTTTCTACCTCAGATGCTCATTGATAGGGCCTGATATTTTACAAATAACAATAAAAAATGTAATGCTTTAAGCTAAAGACCTCCGACGACCTCCGTGTCCGAGTGGTTTGTACGCCGGGTTTTATGATGTCGCCGACTCGAGAGGTCCCGGGTTCGAATCCCGGTGGGGGCAGATGTTTGTGTGACGAATAAGAGCATTTGTACTCCAGTCATTGATGTTAAATATGTATTTCTATATAAATATACTTATTTAAGTACAGTATATGTATTCTATTCGTTGCCCTAGTATCCCATAACACAAGCCTTATAGTGCTTACTTTGGGGCTAGGCTAATTGGTGTGTGTGTTGGAAATATTTATTTATTATTTTATTATTTATTAAAGATGAGGATTTTTTTGCCAATGTAATAAAACTTTCACTTTAATAGATATTTATGATTTTAGTGCGGTAAATTGGTTATTCGTCGAGGGCTTACCATAGTCACAAGTTTGTTAAAACCAATTCCGCACGATGCATAGTTTAAGTAATGGGGCAAACTTTTTCTAATAAGAAAATTTAGCATATGCCCAATTGGCGTCATAATTTTAAAGTGAGATAAAGATTAAAAGGGCTTACAATGAGATGGTCCGAAATTAAAAAAAAACCGTAAAGGATACGCACGGCGCCATGTATGGGAGCGTGTGGTAAAACGTTTTACCGCTTATATACAACTGACAACATCCATCCATCAGCCTTTTTCCCGTCCACTTCTGGACACAGGCCTCCCCCATAGAACGCCACAATGCGCGGTCCTGCGCCATCCGCATCCAGCGGCTCTCAGCACATTTGAGGATGTCGTCAGTCCTCCTTGTTGGGGGCCGCCCCACGCTGCGTCGTCCGGTACGTGGTCGCCACTCGAGGACCTTTCTTACCCAACGGTTGTCAGATCCTCGAGTGATGTGGCCTGCCCATTGCCTGCTGCTTCAGCGTGCTAACTGACAACTGACAACATAACCTTTTGTATTTTTGGATGATCATTTAAATATTTTGCGTTTTATTTTAAGATACCCGCCAGTCAAGCTCTTGGTATGGCGATAGACAGAGCGAAGGTAAGATGTCCTGTGCATTTTTTTTAAACCTATACGAGGCGCAACAAATTGCCCCACCCCACCTGATGTTAAGTGTAAGGAGAGTGGAGTGGGGATTTCCCGCTTGAATTGGAGCGCCTGTCTGGTGAAGTAAACTCCACCTTAAAGAAGACCACAGTAAAATAACACTTTTTATCTACACTCATGACAAAATATTTAATTACGAATTAGAAGATGGTTTTAAAAATACATAGGTACTTTATACACGCACATACATAAAATTAAAAATAAAACTCATACTGCTAGCTGTATCGTAAAATAACTTTTTAGTCCGTATAGTTCACTTTGTTTTTAATTTGTTAAATTAATTGGGTATGGTATTAGACTGAATTTAATAAAAGCGGCGCTTCCCATACAATTTTCTGTTGATCGTATTTTGTTTTCGGGATATCATATTTTTTTTTGCAAAATACTTCTATCTTACGTAGCTACTTTGTTTAATTTCAATTGTTCTTATAAGAGAAGATAAAGTAGTATACGCTACTGCATATACTTTAGGTATTAATACTCGAGTCAACCTACACTTCTGGACACATCTATTGGCCCACCTTGTATTTTCAGTTTCGTTTGGTCCTAGCTAAAATTTTATATTAGGTCGAGCAAAAAGTTTTTATGCAGTGTTGAACCTGGCACATTCACAATTTCATTCAATAGTCTTTTTTTTAATTTCGAACACAGAACAGAACACACATTTGTTGATATCAAACAATCGAATACTAAGAAAACTTGGTTTTATTGGTTTACTTGGATTTAATTCTTGAAAAAGTGATTGATATCTTTGGTTTTGCAACAAAAATCACTTATTCTTAACATTAAGGTGAGGTTCTATCAATAATCTATGGATACTTCACCTGAAGTCGCCGCCCAAGCTGTGGCACTTATTCAGGCCGGACACAGCCAAAGAAACGTCAGTGCTCAACTTAATTTAAGTCGATCTGCGGTCCGAAATGTTTATCGGAGGTACCTAGAGACTGGCGGCTTTGTTCGTCGACAAGGAAGGCCACGATCTCGGGTCACAACTGCAAGGCAGGATCGATTCATCGTGACGACCAGCTTGAGAAATCGTCACCTTACCTCCATTGAGATACAAAAACAAATTCGCGACTTCCACGGAGTATCTGTGAGCGCTCAAACTGCTCGGAGAAGGTTAAAAGAACGGGATATGGTACCACACAAGCCAGCTAATGGGCCCAAACTAACGCGAGCCCACCGAACAGCGCGCCTTCATTTCGCACGCAGTCATTTAAATTGGACACAGCAAGATTGGAGTCGTGTACTCTTTTCTGATGAGTCTAAAATTGTGTTACATGGCAATGATGGAAGGAAGAAGGTCTACCGACGTAAGGGAGAGCGTTTCGCACAATGCTGCTTTGAAGAGAGGGTTGCTTATGGCGGTGGCTTATGGACTGTCTGGGGCGGTATATCCGCGATTAATAATGAATTTTCACAGATTTCTTCTGCCCTCCCAGTGCGTTAACTTTTTTAAATAAGCAGCTTTCCTGCTGGTATAATAGTATAAAGGTTTTTTTTATACACAGAGCATAGCGAGCGGGAATTATTACCCACCTCCCTGGAAAGCAACTACTACTACAGGAACAACTACGAAAATAATAGAGGTAAATTATTGGGTAATAATACCCAGGTATAAGAGACCCATACGCAAACGGTTAACGCCTACAATGAAAAGTTATTACAAAGTCTTTTCCACAACAGGGAATCAAACTCGTAAAATGTGAAAAAAAAACACATGACGTATTTATGATAACCGTTATAAGTATTATATTTTTCTCAATAACATACCAATTTAAGTGAAAGGAAGAAGTATTTTAAATTAAACTTTAAACAGGTTAAAGTTTAATTTAAAATAATTGAATACAAACTGAATAGTTGATTATAAAGAAAAGAAACGGCGCAAGATTTTTTTCATTTTATTTATCAAATGTTCAAAATGTGTTTTTCTGTAGTACACAAATTGTCACTCTTTTAGTAATTTCTCTGCCTGTCGATAAACTTAAATTTGCATGTCACCATTTTTGAAATAACACGTTTAAGTTCATTTTGGAAGTTCTGTACACTGTCGTGCCGATTCTAAATATTTTCCATAATCGTCCATAAAAGTTAAGTAAGTAAGTTTCCAGAGCCCAATAAAATAAGGATGCAGTTATTACGAAAACGTCTATATATAGGCTAGGTAGCCACATATAATCAAAATTTTCGTAAATATTTTTTTAGTAAGGACGCTTTCATTTTCCAAATTTCAGGAAAGAAGAACACTCCCTCCTTATTCCCCACCTCAGAATTCTCGATCGAACGGGTTTGTTCCATTTGTAAGTAATTTTTTTTTTCATGAAAATAACTATTTTCAGACTTTTTAAATTCTTGAAAATGGAACTCTGTAATGACTTTGAAATTCAGTTTATCTCATTTCTTTGTGACTGGTGTTTACATTTCGGCACCACGGCTTTAAGCCAGATTTACATTGATACAGTAGCTGGCGCCAGTTTTAGGCGCCTAAAACGGTGCCAATAACTGGACTGGATTGTACCATTTACATTTTTGCCAGCAGTTGCATTTGAGGTTTAGTGGTGACTACACGTTTGGGAAAAAATGAACACTGATTTTACTTTCGCTTTCATTTCTTCAATAGTTAACCTTTCCATATTCATTGAAGAGCAAATATTTTGCAGGGCGGTTATTTGCATCTATTTATTTCTATAATTTTGCGAACGAATGTCCCATAAACACTCCTCATTTCTATATAAATGTATAAATTGAAATGTGTTACCATCACCCCACTTTCGAGACATTTTCTTTTCGAAAGTTTCAGCAAATCAATAAGACGTGGTGACATTAAGCGGCGGCGCCAGCGACTGGCGTGAACGTGTTTATAAAGATCCAGTGATGCTGGCAAGGGGCGCGGGGGATGCGGGGTGTGGGCACTGGCATGAAAAGTAAGCCTTCGTTCTACTCCATGCCAGCGCTGGCACCAGCGCGGGACTGGCGCCAAAAAATGTTTACATGGATCCAGTGCTGGCATGCCAGCGGGACTGGCGCCAGCTACTGTATCAATGTAAATCTGGCTTTTTAAGTCGAAAACGAGAAACAAACGACGAGACGGAAGAGGGCGAATGCGTTGCGACGTCACAGCGATACCGGCGGTGCTGCTGTGACGTAATAACGTTGCGGCGACGCACCGCTCGTGTGCCCACCGATGCAGGGAATGCCTACATTTGCCATGCGGCATCGCAACGCATCGTGTGCTCGCGCACTAAATGAAAAAGGTGCAGATTAAAGGCTGGTTTACACTTCGGTAAGTACAGTAGTGAGTTTAGAAATCGGACGATTAAGCAGTACGTACTTTCTTGGCAAATCCCTGTCGAAACGATGATAAGGACATAACTCACCAGAGCGTAAGTTAACTTGCTACTGTACTTAATGAAGTATTTTTTTTTTGTATGTAATATATTTATTCATAAAAAGTTACACTTTCATTTAAATCATGCCCCGCAAAACTGCTTACGCAAAACGCAACTGCTTACTGCTGCTTAAATTCAGTTGTTGTATGTGAATATGAAATTCTTGGAGATAATTGCTTAGTTGAATATATTATTTATCTGTTCTATAGCAAAGCGCCGAACCTAGCCAAGGCGATGTATCACAAATGGCAGCACAAATTATGGCAAAGGTAATTTTATGTACAGCCACAAATCAGGTTACCCAATAAAACTTAAAAAAAATATTCAAATGATTTTAAGCTTGCGATTAATTATTTATTATTCAATTAGAAAATTTAACAGACACCTGAAGTGTGGCTAACTACTTTTTTTTAAATCATGAAAATTCTAACACACACAACAATTAGCCTAGCCCCAAAAAATACTATCAACAGTTTTTTGTACAATACTTAGCTCAACTCCACCTCGTCTCATGGTAAGAGTGGGTGGAATCTTTATCTGAAGATAGATGAGACGGACACAAAAATAGTGTGGTTTATGAAACCATGATAAAAGTGAAACTTTTGAAGTGTTTATATTTAGTAAGGTTGATGTTAATGTGGTTTATAAAAAGTAAAAAAAAAAAATCCTCGGCTAGGAATCGAACCCGGGCCGACTGCGTGAAAAGCGAGCTTTCTGCTACTGAACCACAGATGTGTGTTGACAAAGGCTGATTTTATAATAACAATTAAAAATGCGATGCCATATGCTAAAGATAATCGAGATAATGTTTGGTGATGTAATGAAAGTTTCATTTAAAAAATTGTGCCGGGTCTGTGCCCCAGCAGCGGGAAAATCATTAGGGCGCTTGTAAACCTGACGATTTCTACACGGATTTCTACACTTGGCACTATTTTAAACCGTGTCTCCGCGCGGTGGGCAGTTAGGTTTTTTTTTATAGATATGTCCGTCTAATGACTCCGCCCCACCTGATGTTAAGTGACGGTAAAGTCCAGCCATCCTCACCATGCCGGCCAGCATGTTGTAAAGGATCCCAGGTTGTAAGAAGGAGGGAACACGTGAGCAGGCAGAGCATTCCATTTACGGATAGTACGACAAAGAAATGAGTCACCAAATTTCTTTGTACGCGTTGAAATTGTGGCCACATTTAGGCCAGCGCGCGTGGTCCTCTGAAGGAAAGGGGAAGGTGGAATAAGAGAGAATAACTCCTCAGAACACTCGCAGTGGTACAGACGATAGAAGGCGCTTAGTGGCACCACGTCACGGCGTAATTAAAGAGGCTCGAGGTGTTTAGTCACCTCCTCATCGCCTATGATGCGGATCGCGCGCCGCTGTAACCTATCCATGGGACACTATGGAGGTTTGTTAACAACACTGGTGCTATCGACGGTATGTGGTGATATAAACGTACAAAACGTGCTCGTGAACAAGCTTAGCCAGAACCGGCCTGGGTAGTCTTAGTCTTAGTAGTACGGCAGGCTGTTTCCCCAACTCGACACCCAGTGCCTATTTTGCATGGGGATTGGCATCAGTCCTGCCATCCCAGCTCCTCCAGAAAGCTCAGCAGTCCCCGGATGTTGCTGCAGGCCTTTACTAGTGTCCGTGGACTTCCCATTAGAGAAGTCCTTTATCCTGCAACGCCTCTGCACTCCAGCAGAATGTGGGCGTTCGTCTCCTCCTCCTCCAGGCAGGCCCGGCCTGGGTAGAAACCGTGCTTATACCCGGTGGAAAACCGGACATTGACAAGCGCGGCTGATGTTAAGTGATTGATAAATGTTACAATGCAATATTTGCAATGCGTAATTATAATTTTAAACAAATAAAACTTGCTTCACAGAATCCATTTGAAAAACAACCAGATATAATGGCGAATTCACAACCGAATTATGCAGAGGTAAATCCTATTTCGGGCATGTATTAAGTTAAGTGGGTTCGTTTTAGAGTGACCTTCTGACATCAGAATTACATTTTATTACGCATTTGTACAATCAACCAAATTTGATTCCTGACTCACTATAAGCTTTTTTTCTTACAACTATTTCAAAATAATAAGGGTCGCCTCACACGGGCCATACGCGACAGCCACAAACGCCGCCACGAGAAGCTAGAAGCGGCTACAAAAGTAGCTGAAGCGCGCGACGCGTCGGTTGTCATTGCCGTTGGTGGCTGCTACTTTTTTTAACACATGCGTGCAGTATCATATTGGACTCCGACGACGAAGGTTTGAAGGTGGGGAATCGCGCGAGTGGCTTGTGGGGGCATTTTCTGTCAGCGCATTAGTGGCTGGTGCGGGCCACAAGAAGCGAGCAATGACTATTTGTAGCGTGTGGCGGCCACCGGCGTTAACCGTGTGCGGCTAGTCCATATAAAATGCATGAAAACTTTAGGAAATATGCCGGTGACGGCGTTTTGTGATCGTGGCTGGTGGCTCGTGTGCGGTGACCCTAAGGTAGATTTTTGCTAAAATGTAGGTATCCCTGGAAGCAAACTTGTTATTTTCTGAACAATCAATTGACGTGACAGATTTTAACACCTTTCTGTGACTTAATTTTGATATTAAAGTATTTGGAGCTTTGAAAATTTCCCATAGTCAAAGGATTTCTCTATAAGTTTACCAAGGTTTTTATAATGTCAAGGGCTCAGTTTTCCATTTGTTGTGGTTGAGTAGCGAGCTGAGCTAGATTTTGTCACGGAAAGTATTAATTATTAGAAACACGTACACGAAATATTTTTGTAGGTTAAAGTAAATTTTGACAGCCATTTTGATCAGTGCTGCCATTTTTTCATGCAGAAATAACATGTTTCTCGTTGACTAAGGTAGAAAATATGTTTATTATGTTGGTACTATTGTCAAAATGACAGATGACCCGCCGTTATGTGTTTGTTTTGAGATCCGTCAGTCAGTCTATGTTCGTCTGTAAAAATTATATTTGCTATTATTTACTTGGTAAATAAGAAATAGTATGGGCTCCACACACTCCTCCACACTTAGGAAAAAAGGTAAATGTGGCTTTACAACAGTCTTTAATTCAGAACCGACTTGGTTACTTAACTTTAACGAGATATTTTAGTACGATTATTCGATTGTTTTCTGCTATTGAACAAAGGGTTTTGGCATGAAACAACGATTGGAATGTTTTAATTCAACTGGAAAGTTCTGAAACAAAAGCTACGAGTATATGTCAATATGTCAGACATACTATTCTCAGAACAGTGAGGCTATTGATATGAAAACATATTGTTCACCTAAAAAGTAATGTCTTTTTGAAAGAAGTAGGTATTACTGATAACATTTTATGAAGTAAGGCCCACTGGCACTAAAGTTCTTGATTCAAAAGCTGAATTATATTTAATTTTCAAATATAGATAGGAATATTGGAATTAAAAAAATAATAAAGATGGAATGATGACACGATTAATCTTTTAATAATTTTAAAGATATTTTTTTTATTTTTTAATCATTTAACTGTTAGATATTAAAAGATAAAGAAAATTTTACTAGAAAAAAATCCAAGGCTGCAACTGTAAGGAATTCTACACGGCCATACCATAATTGGTCAGTGTGTCCGCCCGGATAGCGGAGGGCGCGGATTTGGGTCCCGTCTGCTGCCTGAACCACAGATTACGACTATTTTAAGTCACTTCGCAATAAGAGACTTGGCATCAACATAAACGGCGAGTACATGACGCACCTTCGATTTGCAGATGATATCGTAGTCATGGCTGAGACCATGGATGACCTTGGCACAATGCTCGGCGACCTCAGTAGGGTGTCCCAACAAGTGGGTCTCAAAATGAACATGGACAAGACGAAAATCATGTCGAATTCCCATGTCGTACCCACTCCAGTGACTGTTGGGAGCTCTACACTGGAAGCTGTTGACCAGTACGTATACCTGGGACAAATAGTCCAACTGGGTAAGTCCAACTTCCAGAAAGAGGTTAATCGACGAATCCAACTCGGCTGGGCAGCGTTCGGGAAGCTACGTAGCATCTTCTCGGAACATCTACCGCAGTGCCTCAAGACGAAAGTCTTCAATTCGTGCGTGTTGCCAGTGATGACATACGGAACCGAGACGTGGCCGCTTACAATGGGTCTTGTAAGAAGGCTCAAAGTCACCCAAAGGGCAATGGAGAGGGCTATGCTCGGAGTTTCTCTGCGTGATCGAATCAGAAATGAGGAGATACGCAAGAGAACTAAAGTCACCGACATAGCCCACAGAATTGCAAACCTTAAGTGGCAATGGGCAGGGCACATTGCTCGCAGGACCGATGGCCGCTGGGGCGGAAAGGTCCTCGAGTGGCGACCGCGTACCGGGAAACGCAGTGTTGGCAGGCCCCCCACAAGGTGGACCGACGATCTGGTAAAGGTCGCGGGAAGCCGCTGGATGCGGGCAGCATGGGACCGATCGCTGTGGAAATCCATGGGGGAGGCCTATGTCCAACAGTGGACGTCTTTCGGCTGATGATGATGATGATGATGCAATAAGAGAAAAATAAAGAAAATTCTGTGTCATCATCATCATCAGCCTATTGATGTCCCCACTGCTGGGGCACAGGCATTCCCTATGAATGGAATAGGGAAATCGGGCTATGACCTACTGGTGGGTGCTAACGGCTCCAGATGCAGCCGGGACCAACGGCTTAACGTGCCTTCCGAAGCACGGAGGAGCTTGAGATAGTAAATTTTTGGTCACCCATCCAATGACCGACCACTGCGACAGTTGCTTAACTTCAAACGCGCTAACCACCTGCGCCATCGAGCTCTTCAAATTCTGTGTACAATATATCAATTGTTGGTTAATTTTTCAGAACCAGTATCAACAGTATCCTGATTATAGTGGAAACCAACAGGGTTATGGACAGGTTTGTTAAAAACCGGTCAATTCTAATTTAAACTCGCACACAATGTGTTTCGTACAACCGTCAAAGGTTTAGAAAACCATTTGAAACAAAAAAGAAAGAAAATATCGATATAATATAGATATACGCAACAGAATTATAAATATATACTTTTTGTGGATTTGATGGAGCCACTAATATATGTATAACGTTTGAACATTTTCAAAAACTTGTGTAAATAACCTATTGCGTATTACTATTGATAATTTGAAGTTTCAAAAAAACAATGTTTCAGAATAGTAGCATCGATGATCCTTTTGCATCCAGAAACAATAGTGTATTTTCGAATTATTCTTTATCTAATTAAAAACAAATATGTCTTAGACAGGTCCCTATCAACAATATCATGATGACATGGGAACACCGCGAGGATATCAATCGGTAAAGAAAATTGTTGTTAGCCTCGATAGTAATGTAGGTACTTTGTTACACATGCTATTTAATAGGTAGCCTAGGTATAGTTAAAATTTAATTGATTTTGAAATATTAAGTGTACATACTTCTTTTTCCCAGCCAGAATCCTATCAGGATTATGGGAATGCTATGGGTCCGCCGCAAATGCAAAATCAGGTGAGTACCTAATAGAACAAGATTTCTATTGATAACAAGTGGTTCCAAAATCGTAGGTGGTTCTTCAAATGCAGTATCTATACTATTATATAAGGTAAAGTTTGTGAATTGTAGGGGTTTTTTTTGTTTTAGGTACTTTTGGACCAAAATGTCCATACCAACCCTACGTAACCTGACCATACTATTTTCTTAAAATTATTTAATTACTTAACGATTACATAAAATTTTTGCTGCCATATTGCAAACCACACCAGCCTCCTCCGATAGGGGTTGGCTAGGATGCCCTGCAATATGCCAGTTTCATACCTATTAATTTTAAGGATGGAGAATGCATGTCTCCTTTCCGCCTTATTTTTGACGCATTTCATTAAAATGTGTTGCACATCCTCCACTTTCTCAAATATTTCACAATTAGGGGAATCGTTATTGTAGGGGGTATTGTATTGTATCTCTGGATCTACTGAATTGATTTTATAAATTATTTTACTTATAGAATGCCACGTTATTTGTGAGTGTCATAGGCTATATATTAACCCGAAAAATGTAAAAACGCGGAGTACACAAAGCCGCTAGTCCATTAATAAAATACTTTTTGAACGGCTTTAAGCGCTAATTTACCGCACCCTATACAGGTTCTGTGGTAAAAAAAAGTCGTGACCTTAGGTATTTTTTTTGAGTGCGTATGCTGTTGGTCGCAGATGACCTTTACAGCGTCACTGGGTTTGGGGACGGCGAGATCCTTAGGGAACCTCAAGCCGAGAATTGGCGACTGCCTCTAGAGGTGTTCCAGGCGGATGGCATCTTCCCATAGGGGGAGTCTGCTCTCCGTCTGGAGTCGCTAGACCACTTGAACCCGAGTGGTCGGCTTTCAGGCGGATGTCGCTAGACCACTTGAACCCGAGGGGGTCGGCTCAACTAGAGGGCGTCTCTGAGACTCGGACCTCGGCTCTAGTGACCTTAGGCGCGGAACCCATAGAAAAGATATAGGTATGACGCAGACATGCCTAAGGACGTCATACACCACGTTTGCTTAGACGCGGTCTTCACTCCAGAACTCGTCTACCCCAATGGTTATCGGCTTATATAAAATACGTGGCCAATACTTTTAGATAACGTTACTTGTGGACGAATAAAGTAATAGTTATCATTTCTATAATACTCTGTTTTTTATTTTAGGGTAATACTTATCAAGAATATCCTGAAGTGATGGGGAATTATCAAGGCAATCCGAATGTAAGTTAGACAAGATGGGACTTGCATCTTATCACCCGTTAGTAGTTGTACAACTGTTTTTAGTCCGTGTGCTATTATTTATGTAGTAAGTTTTCCTATGCTAATGTTTTCAATATGTATGTATAAAAAAAAACAAATTCAATATCGTTTATTCAATCTAGGCTGTTACAAGCACTTGTGAATGTCGAAAAGCTACGCTATCGGTTCGCAAATCTACGATGGGAGACCTTGTACTGAGAAGAACCGGCGAGAAACTCAGCAAGGGCTGTTTTTTCTCCCTGTATTTTAAACAGAGTCGTCAAATTGAAAAATGACTTCAATATGAGATAACTCATGAAGTCACTTTCCACACAAGATTTACAACTATGTACTGTTCGGCTATAGCCTAACACATTTGATTTTTTTCGGTTTTGTCCGGCCAAGCAAGTGAAGACCTTTAGTAAGATTTTAGCTCGAGCTAAAATCTGTAAAGCTAAACATCTGTCTAGTGATAGTAAAAATCTGTAAAGCTAAAAATCTGTCTGGTGATAGTTGCGGATTTTTTATAACCTAGCGAAAATTGTTTAACTACCACGATCAGAGACCTAACCTCCTGTTATGTTTGAGTTGTACCTACATATAATGTTATTTAAATAAATACACAGGCTGAGCCGTGTGTTTTACCTTGTTCACAAAACCTAGGAAGATTTTCATGCCAGACGGAGGTTCTTTCAAATTGTCTTATGTTGTTATCAGATCAATTATTTTTTATACGAGACACAAAAACTTACCCCAACCCACCTGATGTTAAGTGTAAGTGGAGTCCAGCCACAAAGATAGATGATGCGGCAGAAGGTGTGCCACTCCAGCCACCTTCACCATGCAGGCCTGAACCCAATCGCAACGACCCGCCTCACACGATACCGCCGAAGAGATTTTTAAGAGAGCATGACTACCCATAACCACTCAAACCAAACTGCAAAATAGTTACTTAGAGTTAAGGTAATTTATCTGTACGACACTGCAAACAACTACAAAACAATTTTGCAGTTACAGCCATGCAGTTTTATCATTCAAGTATTCTTTAATAGTATAAAAGCCTTTCTTAAGTAAACAACTTTTAATGTGACATTTGAACTCATTTATGGGTAACTCAAGAACAGCATCAGGAATTTTATTGTAAAAATGTATAGTAGTTAAGTAGAAGTTGTCAATGTATTTTTTTCAACTAAAAGTTTTCTTTAGATTTATAAATCGAGCAGATTAATCAACGATATTGAGATTATTGCTTGAAAATATAATAAAAAATAATGTAGCCACCTTATGATGAATGAATTTTCGAAATCGGTTCAGTAGTTTGGCAGATTATTTTTGATACAAACATACAACTCTTGCCTCTTTATAATATTAGTATAGAGAGTTAGGATAATAATATTTAATTGATGAAAAAGATTTCAAAATCCCTGAACCGCGGAGCCCTGGAACCCTACTCACCAGCAGAAATACAACACCACCAAAAGGTAGTGTTATTTTACTGTGATCTTCTATAATCCGAGCTCCAATCCGAGCGGGAAACCCGCTGTGGCCTAACTACAGTCAAAATGTAATATAACGACATCGTTTATAACGACGTGTCGGTTATTACGACTAATTGGCAAGATTCCGACCGAAACCCTATATAAATCCTTAAGTAAATAAACCGCTTATAACAGCCCCGGATATAGCGAAATACCGCTTAAAACGACTTATAACTAATGAATATTGATGAAGTTCATAGATATTCATCGGTTATAACGACCAACCGTTTTACTTATTCCAGCAAAACAAAATGTACTGTAGATGCTTAAATTTTTTCATAGTAAACTTATCACTCCTTTTTTTGATATTTAATTTGAAAACAAGCTTATATTCATTATATAACCATACTACATACATACATTATGACAATAATATGACTAGTTTTGTATATTGCTTATAACAACTATCGGACATAACGACCGAAGTTATATGGTCCCTTCAATGTTGTTATATCCGGTTTCGACTGTATCTTAATTCTTTTAACTTCTTTTCTTTGTTTTCAGCAACAACCATATCAACATAATGCAGCTATGAGCGGTCCGCAAGAAGTCAATGGGATGTTGAATTATGTAAAGATAATAAATAAAAATAAATATTTCCACCACCAAAGTAAGCACTGTAAGGCTTGTGTTATGGGATGCTAAGGTATCGGATAGAATACATATACTGTACATATATAAGTATATTTATAAAGAAATACATATTAACATCCATGATTGGAGTACAAATTGCTCATATTCATCACACAAACATCTGCCTCCACCGGGATTCGAATCTTGGACCTCTCGAGTCGGCGACACCATGAAACCCGACGTACAAACCACTCGGCCACGGAGGTCGTCAAAGATATTAAGCTGTATTGGATGCTTGTATCAGGAGAAATGCTTATTATAAAGCTGAATATCCCACGTCCTTCCTACTAATATGAATGTGAAAGTTTGTAAGTTTGTTACTCAATCACGCAGAAACGGCTGAACGGGTTTGGACTAAATTCGGCAGACACATAGTTGATTACCTGGATTGGGAAATACCTGGGATATATTTATGCCAAAAAAATTTAGGTACCCGACGAATTCTCAAAAAACAATAGTTAACGCGGGCGAAGTCGCGGGCGACTCTTAGTTAAATATAAATGTAGCCGAACTATATTTTCTTTATCGTCTCGGGTCTGGGTGTTTGTGTTACCTACGCTGTTTCTGATAATCTTAAACTTAACATAATGCTATAGCTGCAATTCTGTACCTTCAGTGAAAAAGTAGTAGTATATATATTCGTATATATATATATATATATATATAATTAGTGTGTAATGTTTGTATGTATTATATTCTTTTTATGGTATGTATCTATGTTAATTTGTATATATATTCGATTTAGCATTATACCGCCGTTCGTGTTCGTGTTTTTAATTTTTCCCAAAGGTTGACTCGGTGAGAATACTTTTAGCATTAAGTCCGCCTTTTGCACAATTGTATACACACTTCGAACCTCGCAGCCGTTACCCAAGAATAGTCGCATTGCAAAACTCACACCAGTGCTAGATGCTGACGGCCTATTACGCTTGAACATCCGCATCAGCTCTGCTCCCGGAGTGACCGAGTACACAATCATCATCATCATCATCAGCCTATTAATGTCCCCACTGCTGGGGCACAGGCCTTCCCTATGGATGGAATAGGGAGACTGGGCCGTGACCCACCACGCGGGCCCAGTGCGGATTGGTGGGTGCTAACGACTGCATATGCAGCCGGGACCAACGGCTTAACGTGCCTTCCGAAGCACGAAGGAACTCGAGATAGTAAATTTTTGGTCACCTATCCAATGACCGATCACTGCGAAAGTTGCTTAACTTCAACGATCGCAGTGGAAAGCGCTGTCCACCTGCGCCATCGAGCTCTAGAGTACACAAAATCACCTGTAATTCTGGATCATACAGTACGGCTGTTGATAATATACGAACACGTAAAGGCCTCACATTACTTCAATGAAGAAGTTCTAAATGAACTTATATTTTGGTCAGTAAAATTTAAAATAACAAATAAATAAAAAGGATCTAACTCAACTTAGATCTAAATTTATTTTATTTGTTACTCTGAATCTCTGAAAGTTAGCTATTATTGTATTTAATCGGTATAATTATATAACATCAGAAGTGCTTCAACGAGGTCGGAACAATGTAAGTATGTTTTATGCGATATTGTATCTTGGTTTCAGAATGGGCAATATTCTCAACAACCACCACAGACCCTGAGAACAACTGGCAACCAGGAACAGATGGTAAATTTTGTTTTTCAACAGCGTCAATAGGGAATATGCATGAATTTTTAACATTTTTATTTAGTAGTTTACATCCCCTTGATACAGCATAAAAAACTACGTCAAAGAAATAGTATAGTCTTAAAAAAACCACAGACAGTTTAAATGCGCGCCATTTTGGAATGCTTGGATGTGACGTCACGATTTATTAAACCTACAAATAAGAACAATGACCTTACAAGATCCGAACGTTTTGTGTTCCATACCTTCACTACATATATCTACCTAACTACGTCAATCAAATAGACATTATGTTTCATACATTTTTGGTAAAAAATTAAATGTCATAGTGAAAAGTTGTACTCGGTGTATAGGTGGAACGCGGCTTTGATATCTACGCACACGCACTTTAATCTCATTGACATGTGAATGGCATGGCATATCCTGTGAACATCATGTTTGTTTGTTCCTATAAAGATACGCAATCTTTACGCGTGCGATTGAGTCGCGTTTCAAATATTTTGAATATTCCACAAGTTTTTGGCACCATTATATTATTAATTTCTTGCTCGAAAAGAAATTTTATATATAACAAATAAAGAAATAAATATTTCCAACACTCACACCAATTAGCCTAGCCCCAAAGTAAGCTCTATAAGGCTTGTGTTATGGGATACTAGGGTAACGGATACAATTATTATACTGTACATAGATAAGTATATTTTAATAGAAATACATATTAAACATCCATGACTGGAGTACAAATGCTCGTATTCGTCACATAAACATCTGCCCCAACCGGGATTTGAACGACCTCTCGAGTCGGCGACACCATGAAACCCGGCGTACAAACCACTCGGCCACAGAGGTCATCAAGAAAGAAAATATTGATGGAGAGACAACTTAAAATTAATAGTGTTGATATAAAAATAAAATGAGGCTTATTTTAATCACATGCAATTTACTATTATGTTGAGAAATAAAGGTATTTTTTGAAGGCGATATGATTGTCAAATAGTCTACTGACAATGTCAATGTCATGTCAAGAATTACTATTCTATGATGAATTTAGTATATGTAGCTCTTGATTTGTGTTACAATCGTAGTGTTGTCTTTGTTAGTTACAAATGGCTCTCCGCGAAAGCTTCAAAAGATGAGTTCTTTTACAGGAGAACTCATGAAAAGCTAATAAATTTCTCCTTTGATAGGACTGATTTGGCGTTCAAAGAAAAATTAGATAAACTACCACCAGAAAAATTACATACCAGGCCGACATAATTATGTCAGTGACATATGTCGGCTTGGTGAAATACGGCACTGCGTGGAATATCTTCAAGTAAAATTTTTATAATTATTATAAATCTAAAGAATTATAAAATAATTATAAAAAATAACTTATGTGAAAAGTAACGTATTATTAGATAGCTTAGCGTCTTCTTGATGTGGATTTCTCAATAAAAATCGGATATTCACATTGTAAAATATTATTCAAAGTAAAATACTGATCTTATAAAATTATGTGCGTACGTTGTCTTTTGAATTGGAATCGCAAGAAAAAAATTAATCTATATAAAACTAATGAGTGAATGTAGTAACGAATGGGTATGGAATGAATGTATGAACAAACTATGATGATGAATTGATTGTAGATTCTCTCGTCGACGGATTAATGGCGTTAACACCTATGATGAAATGAATTTCACTTTTCAGAATTCTACTAATTCTTTAACTAGACTTAAACCCCTTTTATTTTTCGAAATAATTTCATTGAGTTTTATTTGAATTGCATAAATATTTATTATCATTATTATTACTGTGTATGTCTTGTTAATTTTTAGAGCAGCATTTATCAGCAGCAACCGCCCCATATCTTACGAACAAACGACGATCAAGAACGATATGCATCCAAACCGGTATTTTTTTCAAATATTTTTAGGGAATAGATCTTTACTGTTATAAGAAAATGCTTGATATGACTGTTTAAATTAATACTTCCCTATTAAATCTGTATTAAAAATAATTACATTTCAGGTTAGTTTTGCCAAGCAAGATTTTGCCCAAGTAATGGAACCATTAACAACACCTGCTCCAATAAAGGTAACTATGCTTAAAATAGTAAAGTTGAATAGTTTGTTTGTTTCAACGTGCTAATCTCCGGAACTGTTGGTCCGATTTAAATACATAATTATTTTTGTAAAAAATAGTGCATATATCGAGGAAGGCATATATATAATAGTGCATACATAGATAACCATAGGAGCGGAGCACAAAGGACAAATTGCAAAAAACGGAAAAAGTTTTTCAATTGTGAGCTTCCGTTGGGTGAGCTGCGTAAACAGTAAAAGTTACACAAAAATCATGCACGACGGAATTATTGCCCTTTACGAGCGGACGCGAGCTGAGAGGCATTTGAGAAATAGGTATTTGAAAAAACTATTAAAGCAATGGCAAATACCGTGCGAAAAGGACAACAGTAGCTATCGCTGAAAATTGCGTATAAAAATTGCAAAATTCGAGGTTTGGTTCTCAACGTTTTCTGCCTCGAATATTAGATATATTTAAAAAAAATACCCATAGAATAATAAGTATTTATACTAGGCCTCTGTTTTTTTCTGTAAATGCTTATTGTATCTTCCCGCTAAGCGTCTTTAATGGTGATAAAAAAAAATAGTTCTTTCGAGGGTTTCTAGTTTCTTGGGATAACAATTTATCGACAAGAGGAAGACATAGGAGCATAGAATGAGTAAATCATATTTTATGTGTGAAATTGTTTCATCATCATCATCAGCCTATTAATGTCCCCACTGCTGGGGCACAGGCCTTCCCTATGGATGGAACAGGGAGATTGGGCCATGACCCACCACGCGGGCCCAGTGCCCAGTGTGGAAATTATTTCCTTAGTAATTAAAATCAAGGAGGAATCAGTCGACAGCGTTTGTATGAAACAAACATTGCCCGCCTCCACACACAGCAAATGTGTATCTTTTAAGAGTGACCCACTATAACCTTTTTCCTCAAATTTATGCGGTTGCAGCCTCAGGGCCCTTTAGTAACTAATAAAATTTGCAGCCGAGCTACAACTTACATCTTCATCTATATGATAATTGTGGTGCCTTCTCTATCCTATCGATAGAACCATAAAGGTAATACCCCCCAAATCGGTTAAGAGTCATAGAAGAAGAATAATAGTTGTCATAAGCAGTTTTAAAATAATGTTTTCATTAATTTAATCGGAAAATAGAAGTGGGCTGAATGGTGCCAAACTTTACAGGGAACATAACTACCCCCTTAAGTCTAATTTTTGTTATGTACTCTAAAAAATCGGGACATTTGGCGTCCCGACCAAAGTCAAATCGGGACGTGTCCACTACCCCTCAAATTCGGGAGATCCTACTTAAATCGGGACACCTGGCAACCCTGGTTAAGACTGAAGAATGATGGTTGCTAACGACTAACTGTAAGCAAATGCAACTAGATCTACTTTGCCTTCTGAAGCATCGAGAAACTTGAGATAATAGTTTTTATGGCGGCATATCCGTTGACCGGCTATTGCAAATTTAAATTTAAGAGGAATTCGGGAGTACTACATATCTCGGTTTCTCATCTCTTAATTTATATATTATTTATTTAAATTTCCGCCAAAAATTTAAGGAACTAAATTATTTTAACTAACAGAAAAAAAACAAAATCTTGGTGAATATCTGCCTCGTCATGTTCGGCCCAGTCTCAAATGATTGCCAACTTTATAATTTTATTATTCATACTGATTTGAATATTATTATTTACATTAATTTCAGATGCTATCGAAAATACCGCTGTACGCCCCGGGGTCGTCAGGGGAGCAGCGTTGGAGGCAGAAAATGGGATATGTAATATAAATGCAATTAAATAATTGTGTTTAAGTGCAAAACTTAATAATAAAAACCACGATAAGGCATACGTAAACAAAATAAAAAAGGAATTTATTAATTGTAAAAACATGTAATTTAGAATTTAGATTGTACTTCTATTCAATTCAACCTATAATGTTTTCCATAAGATGATGTTAAAAAAACGAGTTTGTTATGACCACGCGACTGAAGTGAAACTTCTTTAGCTCCATCTGTATGTATATTTATATATATATATATATATATATATATATATATATATATATATATATATATATATATATATATATATATATAAATATACATACAATATATACATGTATGTCATTTACTAGCTACGAGTATAAGAGAAAAAAAATGTGCGCGCACACTGCTTTCTTCTGCTTATCCTCACTCAACTCCCGTTCGCCTCGCCCGAACACACTTCGTAACGCGTAACGCATTGGCCTGCTTGCCCCCCAAGTCAAGCGTCCATAAACTATTTTCACTTCAGAATTTTTTTGTGGTTTCTTTATAACTTTTTTTATAACTTACAGAGAAACGATCCTTCATGGCCGAAAAATGCGAGAGATGTAAGAAATGTTGCTTAATTTTATAGTTACTACTAGCAGGTGTCCGCGATTACATCTGCGTGGAAGTATTAATAATAATAATAAATATTTCCAACACTCACACCAATTAGCCTTTAATTAATATAGGATACTAGGGTAACGTATACAATGCATATACTGATACATATCTAAATATATTTATATAGAAATTCATATAAAACATCCATGACTGAAGTAAAAATGCTCGTATTCATCACACAAAAGTCTGCCCCAAGCGGGATTCGAATCCGGGACCTCGCGAGTAGGCGACACCATAATTAATAAGACTATTTAGATATTATTTGTAATAAATATATTAGAGGTCGTTGGCCGTGTCGGGTCTTTTTCGGCTCCTTCTGCAGTACCCTTAGCACGAACCATTATCGAATTCGAATAGTTTGCGAGTCTGAAATGTCAGGGTCAAATTTTGTATGAAAACTTGAACAGCAGTGCCATAACGAGTACCAAAAAATCAGTACACATTTCGGACTCACAAACTTTTCGAAGTCGATATTGGTTCGTGCTAAGGATACTGTACAATAGGGATGAGTACTTTTTTCTTCGTTTATCAGGTAGATTATCAAAAAGTATTGGACACGTATTTTTTCTTTTTTCACATATAACGTTTTAGTACACTATTAAGTGAAAATTCACTAAAAAGCTTAGATTAAAACAAAAAGGGTAGATACGGCACTAGCCTCACAAAAGTGATCCGCACAAATTGTGGCCCAAGACCACAGTCGCTTTAGTCACAACTTGACATGCAAACGACGTACATGTGAACGCCAAAAAGAAATATTGCTAATATTTTGTGTTTATATGATAAAACAATGCCTAAGTATGTTTTTAAAAAGTGCTCAAATTGCTAAAGAACTAAAAATAAAACCCACGGCATCACTTTTCATTCGTAAGTACTATAAAATATATTTTTTCATAAAAATTGCCGTTGGTTTTGAATCTTATTCGGTAGTGACGTCGAGTACTGGTCGCGTGATTGGTCGGTAGTGCAGTGACGCGGATCTCGCCGTCTCGTTCGCGCTGCCGTTGAAACTTAACGTGCTGTTTCGTTCGGGTCGGTAATGCAGTGACGCGGATCTCGCCGTCCCGTTCGCGCTGACGTTGAAACTTAAATTGCTGTTTCGTTCGTTCGATTGTATCTTTACAAACAGGTGAATGTGTGAGTGTTGCATAAGTAGTAAAGTGGGATCAGTTTTTGTTTGATGCAAGTGTGAGCGTACCGTATCTACCCTTTTTGTTTTAATCTAAGCTAAAAAGTGACGTCACGAGCCCCTACTCCCAAACGTTGACACGCTATAACTTTGTCATTTTTTGGTTGATTGCCCAAAGAAAAAATCCGTGTCCATTATTTTTTGATCATCTAACTGACGGACTAAATAGAATTTCGTTTACTGTACCCTGTCATCACCCCTATTCCGTAAGAACAAACTCAATTTCACCGTGAAATTATAATACCAGTTTGTCTGAAATTCGTGTTCTAATTTCAAATCACACGCGAATTCCGCGGGAAAAGTGAGTTTGTTTTTATTGAATGGCTCTAGCACTGAAGGGGTTCGCCGGCTTAGAAATGGCGATAAATTGCAGCCAGGGGTCGTCCACGGGGTCTCGGTAGTATGGAGGTCAGAACATCCGCCCAGATAGCGAAAAAAATGGAGCAAATCTCGCTCGATTGGCTGCTGTGTGTTTCGCGGAACCTCCTATGTATGTTAGTTAAGTTTATTTTATTTTATGATATTTTAGATACCAGACACCGCTCCGAGATTCTCGGAAAACCTTCAGCCGCAGACACAAAATATTGTAACAACAAACGTGAGTAAAATGTGATTAAAACTAAACATTTCCCGCCTTATTATTGAGAGGGGGGGGGGGGGGGGGGGAGGCGCGCAATGATTTTTCCATACAAACGTTCTCGACTAATTTCTCCTTGAATTTTATTTGTATAAAATGATTTTCATAATATAAAATATAATTTTACTCATTCTGTGCTCCGATGTCTTCCTTTCTTCTATAACTTGTTATTCAAATAAACTAGAAGCCCTCGAAAACATAAACAAATTTTTATCACCACTACAGACGGTTAGTGTGGACATATAATAACCATTTACAAAAAAAGGAAAACATAGAGCAAAACTACACTACAAATTTTTCTATGGGTGAAAGGAGATTGCTCAGCTTCAAAAATGTACGGCAATATGTATGTATACTTTATGATGTCGCCTACCATCTATATTAATTGTCTTAGCACATTTGCATGTAGTAAAAATGATAATAAAGTTGTGGATATTAATACCACCCGTGTAATAAAAAAAAAATATTTTATCAATCTTTACAAAATAGATTTGTTTTGATGTTATATAAACAACCTCGATCAGTCTCTGTGAATGTTACTACACCCATAGCCAATAAAAATGATTCGTATGTTTTCCAAACCGGTAAATATAGAAGTCCTTTTTTAAAATTAATATATTATATAAAGGTGGCCGTTAAAATCTAATGACTGTAAAATAAAGTATAAATTACGCCGAGAATTACTGTATATGTCAATATTTTATTTGCATTTAGGCCAATTTGACCAATCTCCTTTTTTGAGGAGGAAATCGTCGAGAGCCAAACCTCGAATTTTGCAAATTTTATAAGCAATTTTCAGCGTTTACTACTGTTGTCCCTATCGCACGGTATTTGCCAATGCGTAACAGCAATAGTTTTTCAAATACCTATTTCTCAAATGTCTCTCAGCTCGCGTCCGCTGTTAAACGAGGAATAAGCTTAAAATAGTTACGCGCTATACCAGGTACAGGTGTGGTACGTACGGCGTTTTTCCCCGCCCCCCACGACAACGGCTAACTAGAGCCGAGGTCCGAGTATCAGAGACGCCTTTTAGTTGAGCCGACCCCCTCAAGTTCGAGTGGTCTAGAGACTCCCCCCGTGGGGAGATACCATCCACCTGGAATACCTCTAGAGGCACTCGCCACTTCTCGGCTTTAGGTCCCCTTAGGATCTCATCGTCCCCAAACCCGGTGACGCTGTAAAGGTCATCTGCGACCAACAGCATATACACTAAAAAAAAACCGGACGACGCTCAGTGGGCAGGCCTCCTACGAGGTGGACCGACGATCTTGTAAAGGTCGCGGCAAGCCGATGGATGCGAGTGGCGCAGGAACGATCGGTGTGGAGATCCTTGGGGGAGGCCTATGCTCAGCAGTGGGCGTCCTACGACTGATATAATGAAACTAAAACCTATTTTAGTTAGATCTACCGTAATTTATCCCCGATCGGCTGAAACATCTAATGAATGCTTAGATTAAATAAAAAAAAATTATAAGAAACTAAGGTGGTTTATGAAATGGCGGTGAACCGTCATTCATTGTTCGGAGTATTGTATTTGGATTGAACATTAAATATTTTTTTCGCAGAATGCACCTGCCCCGAATTCTAATGGTTTAATACAAGGATACCCGAATCATAGCGCTATAGTAAGTTGTATATTGCACGATATAACTAATTACTTTATAGTCAGTATATAATAAACAAACTCCATCCACACTATACCTATTACGCCATATTAATAAACGAAGATTAACATATTTGTTTCTTAGGTTTTCACGCACATCACTCATTAAATAAAACTAGTTTTTACGGGTTAATGCACTAAACTTTATTTATTTATTGACGTTTCGTAGCCTTTACAGGCTACGTCGTCAGAATTAAACTTTTATTTGCAAATAAAAACAAAAACTAGTTTTATTTAAACGAAGATTAAGCTTGGATTAGTTACTCCATGTTTTGCCTCTGTTCATTGAATGACAAATGGCATTTGAGTGATGTGAACAGAACGGCGTAATTAGTCAAAGCTTATTCCTAGTTTATTAATTAGGGGGTTATGGAATAAGTAGTTATGAAAAATTCAAACACAGATAGCATTTTTATTTTATACACTTTTGGATGATCTTCCATACAATCTTTGACACGAAATTTTGTTTTTTTTGAGGGTAGTTGTAAAATTTTATGTAACAGGCTCAGTGTCAGTGTACATCTATTAAATAATGTTTATGCAAAATTTGCAGTCAATAGGTCCAAGAGATAAGATTTTACGAACAAACGTTTTTTGTAAATTTCACGCTTAAGAGGCTGAATTAAAAAAAAAAACTGTCTTACTACTTGTCCAGGCAAGGCAGACAAGTAGGAACCTACTGTCCAAATTTCATCATTATAGGTCCAGCCGTTTTGGCTGTGCGTTGATGAGTCAGTCAGTCGGTCAGTCTGTCAGTGCCTTATTCTTTTCTCTCTTTATATTATAGTATAGATAATAGAAAAGTATCAAGTTCACATCGACTTCATTTGAATATTAATGAAATATCGACGAAGGAACAGTTTGTAAATATGTTTTTATTCACAGGTCGCAACAAATTTGTCGTTAACGACAACTACCACAAAAAATTATACAGTAAGTGTTGCTTACAGATAATAAAAAGAGGCCAAGTGCGAGTCGGACTCGCCCATGAAGGGTTCCGTAGCAGCAAGTTACTTATAAAAGTTCTTGTAGTTCCTTGTTACTTAGATCCATATTTTAATAATGGTGTATTTTTTTGTATTAGGTAATTGATAAGTAAATTTGAGTTGACTGAATGAAAGTTAAAGTGCAGTTTACGATTTATGACGTATTAAATAAAACTACTTACTAGATCTCGTTGAAACCAATTTTCGGTGGAAGTTTGCATGGTAATGTACATCATATTTTTTTTAGTTTTATAATTCTCTATTTTAGTATTAACATTTTACCACTTTAGAAGTGCCTCTCGCGCAAATTATTCAGTTTAGAAAAAAAACCTTAATATCATTTTTGAATACCTATCCATAGATACACCAAACGTAAGGGTTTGATGAAAAAAAAATTAAACCCCCCAAAATTTATTTTATTTTTCTATTTTTGTGTGCAAATCTTAATGCGGTTCACAGAATACATCTACTTACCAAGTTGCAACAGTATAGTTCTTATAGTAGTATAGTTTCGGTTAAAAGCGGCTGTGACATACGGACGGACAGACAGACAGATAGACATGACGAATCCATAAGGGTTCCGCTTTTTGCCATTAGGATACGGAACCCTACAAAATGGTTAGCAAAATTTGACGCAGTTCGTAAGAAATAACACTTGCCATAGCGGAGACCATTTTTCGGGTTCTATAGTTGAAAATTATCCATTTGAAAATTTTGTTAGTCTATTATAGTTATGTTTTTGAAGATATACAGGGCTACCCTTTGTATAGAATAAGAAGAATCAAAGGCGCCTCTAGTCCTTCCTTATAGAGTTCGTGTGCAATAATTAACCTAGCGCCCTGTTGGTCGCCGAGGACCTTTACAGCGTCACCGGGTTTGGGGTCGGCGAGATCCTAGGGGGACCTCAAGCCGAGAGTTGGCGAGTGCCTCTAGAGGTATTCCAGGCGGATGGCATCTCCCCACGGGGGGAGTCTCCTCTCCGTCTCGAGCCTCTAGACCATTCGAACCTGAGGGGGTCGGCTCAACTGGAGGGCGACTCTGAGACTCGGACCTCGGCTATACTTAGCCGTTACCTGGTATAGCTTGTCGTGTGTAGACCGGGTCTTCGCACTCTTATCCTACGGGTGCGGTGTCTGTCTAATGCTAAGCTAGTGTACAAGTTTGCTTGCTGAGTAGTGTTGGTGTTTGTGGCATGTGCGGGAGGAATCGGAGGCGCGTTGGCGCGTGTGATTTCGTCGTCGGGGTACTCTAAGACGTGCCTAGGCCAACGGAATCGGAGGGAGCGCGGTCAAAATATAATGGTGGCGAGTGACTCCTAAGACCGCTGCATCCTTGTGCAACAGACACCCTGCACCTTAGTTAAAGCCGCCTCTGGGAAGAACTTGTTATGACGCACCACCATACCCAGATTAATGGGTGCCAACGACTGCAGATACAGCCGGGGCCAGCAGCTTAACGTACCTTCCCAAGTACGGAGGAGCGAGGGATATAAAACTTTTGGTCAACCATCTTATGACCGGCCAATGCGAAAGCCATTTAACTTCCCCGATTAGGTATAATCCAATAAGTAATAGCCACTTCATGATATTTTTTCTCAGAGTGATCAGTTAAAGGAGGATTCGAAATATCTACCTTCTGTGGTAAGTCAAAATATATTTTTACAAACAAATACGGAAGTGTTCCTGTCTGGTTCAGGCTTGGAACGCTGAACCGATTTAGATGTATGAGATTGTTCAAGTCCTAGAAATGGCCATAGGATAGTTTTTATCCCTGAAATCAACCTTTAAGGGAATGAAAGTTTGTTCAGGAAACCAAATTTCCCACTTTGGACGAAGTCGCGGTACCATTTTAGTCTTCCATAAAGCAAAACAAAGCACAAAGTGAGTTGGAGAACTTTTGACAGTTTCTGATGATGCTTAGCTTACAGAAGACCACAATAAAATAACACTGCCTTTTGGTGGTGTTGTGGGCTCCACGGGGTAGGGGATTGGGTCAGGGTAGACAACGGTGCGAATGATATTTTTTGTATCGCAGGCGTCTATAGGCTAAGGTAGCCGCTTACCATCAGGCGGGCCATACGCTTATTTGCCACTTTAACATAAAACATACAGTTTTAAAATTGCTGATTGGTGAAGAACTGATCGATATTTTAAATATTTTTCAGGATGATTTTGGTTCCAACTAACTGATCGATATTTTAAATATGTTTTAGGATGATTTTGGTTCACCCATACGTTGGGTTATGTTTAATTCGGTAAGTGACACATATATTCCAAATTATTTTTGACTTACTAACATGTTCTGAGCAAGGTAAATTAAAAGTATTTAAATTAGTATGCAAACTTGTTAAAAATATTCAAGAACATAAAAAATATTTAAGTAATGATAATAAAAGGTAAAGAAAATAGACAAGCTTGAGATTTATAAATCGAGAAGATAAAAAATTAAGTTTTTTAATTTTAATAATATCGGGGGCTCGGGAAAAATGTATATGGTAGCAGTTCCGCTTATTACTAAAACCAATTATTAACTTAACTCAAAAACAGGAATATTGAAGCAAATTCATTTCAACTTCCCAATAATGATATCGCGTAACTTGATTCTATAATAAAATTCCAAACGAAGTTACCATGTTGATTCCGACCAAGTCATTGTTGCGAACTTTCAATGTTTACACCTTAAAAAAACAGAGCGTGGGCCCCGAAAATGAGATATAATAATTACCTCGGTATTATGAAGGCCGTGATTATTCCAAACAAAGCAAAGTATAATTATTGTTTCCACAGAATGAAACCGAAGACGGCCTAGCGAAAGTAACGGTGAGTTCAAGTTTCCATTTGCTTTGATAACAGATATTTCTGAAATTGTTATAACACAATTTCAAGCTATCCGGCTCGACGGACCAAAAACGCCGTGAACTGAATTTGCAGAATATTTAAACCGAGTTTGGTTTATGATTGCGTAGAATGTTTTTCTTCTTATACCTAGGGTCATTTGCGGTAATAGAGACGATGAATAATTTTTCATTCTTCGTCTCTTAGGTAGATTATCAAAAAAAGTATTGGACACGGCTTTTTTCTTTCTTTCCCATATTCAAAAGGTTACAAAGATATTCTGGTTTGAAATTGATTGGGATGTGGCCTGTTTTATTTGGTGCAACAGTTGCTTCTTGAAGATTTCTCCCTGCTTTAGATGTGTCAATTGGAAGGTCTTTGAACTATCTGTGTTGGCATGTCACGAGATTTATCATAATGTGGGGTTTGCTTGTTCCGCGAAGCATAACGCTTTGGAGTACGCTAATCTTCAGGACGCTAATCCAATTCAATGATGAAATGAATTCAATTCCATTGAAGAAACGTAGAACACGTACTGAAAATCAATATTTTTAACGTGTATACATCGATATCGCACGAATGATAGTAAGAAGGCTGGATACTTAAACATTTATCTCGCTCGATATTATTTTATATGCTTCCAATTGGAAGCAATGAAAAATGAAAAATTATAATATTGACTTCGATGTTAATGAATTTAACGTCAACCAGAAAGCGGGGGAGTGATCACTTCTTTTATCACATTTGTTCTGCACCGACTGAAGCCAAAGAGATTATATTGAAAGACGTGGATATAATAGTTCAAAAAGAGTTTAATTCGTTAATCAAATTGTGATATAATTAAATTAATATCATCAGGATCCTCGAACAGGCAACAATCGTGAAGTGAAAATTCAGGTGAGTAAGGTTTTGCCGAATACTAATCATAAAATTCTTAATTCAAATTAAGGCTTAATCGTTTTTGGAAGAAGCCACGGTGACACGCTCAAAGTCTGCTGTAACGAAGTAGCTAAAATTTATTTATTTATTTAATAATTTATTGTACACGAAATAAAAAATAAACAACTTAAATGATTACGTACAAAGGTGTGGCTTATTTCTCTAAGAAATCTCTTCCAGCCCACCTGCGATGGGAGCTATGCTGGGAGACATACATGTCGCGTGTACCTACACTAAAAACATATAACTAAAAATATAAAATAAATGCATGTCAACTATATGAATAAAAATATGTAAACAATATTTAATAAAACATAAACATATACAAATAAATATATATAAATGAACACACAAGAAGTTTCGATAGGAAAAAAAATCAACTTACAGAAAAAAAAAATGTCAAGGACATGTAATTTTCTTTAACTGTTTTTTTAAAAAGCGGAAGTGTTGTGATTTCTCTTATTTCTGACGGCAGGGCATTCCACAACTTCACTGAATAAACAGTAAAGGAGTCGCTGTAGAAGTCAGAATATGAATAAATATATAATTGAATATATAATTGGTCCATGATGAAAACTTAGCAGCGCGTATCCGATTCAAACGTCAAGAAGACATGCTCAAAGTCAACTTTGACAAGGTAGCTTTAACAAAAGTTGAGTACGGTCCAACTTCGACTTTGATTGGATGCCAACATTAAATTGCGCTGTGATAACTGTATTACGCGGTCAAAGTATCGTTAAAGTAGTCGCCAAACAAAGCTACTTTGTCAAAGCAGACTTTGAGCATGTCAACGCGGCTTAAACGTTTTGGAAATATGTCAATGCAATGCGAAGTTTAACGTATTGTGTATGGTTGTTGTTCAACTTTGGCATAAAGTGTCGTGGTTATTACAATTTAACTCAAATAGTCTGATAGAGCAGTGCTACTGTCTATTTGATCTAATCATGATCATCATCATCTTATTATGATAATATATGAAGATTAATTGATTCATCATCATCAGCCGATGGATTTCCATTTCTGGACATAGGCCTTGCGCTTTCCGCATCTAATCATGGGTCCCACCGACTCGCTTGATGTCTTCAGTCCATCTGGGAAGAGGTTTACCGACACATTTTTCTTACAGGGCACTATATATGTACCAATCATCGATTACAACCTCGAGAGGATCGGCATGACAGTAAGTTTAATACGAAGTACTTATATTGGGTATATTATATATAAAAATTTCAAGTCATTTTCAACTTACTATGCAAAAGCTGTTAACAAAAGCAGAACGCTTTTGTTAACAGCTTTTACAGCAGATATTGGACCTTTTAAATAATTGTATTATTCATCTGCTTTTAAGCTATAGCATAGATTTTATCGTGGGCTTTGAGCGCAGCGAATGAATCAAGAAATTCCGTAACGAAAATAACCTAACAACAGTGCATATGAACACAATTTGACGTTGATAACGTCGGAATTGCCCTACAAGTGATTAATGTTTAGATAAACTTAATAGGTACTGTAGGGTTCTCCAGAAGGGAGAAGCTAGGGAACGTAACTCAATGATGTTAATGAAATGGTACTACAATAAGAACACTTAGGACTCTTAACTTAGTTTATTTGAATTCAGGAAAATATAAAATACAATTAAATTTATATCGGTTGATTATTCAACCGATCGAGTCTGTTCCTGAATTCAATCTCTGGAATCTTCGATTCTGAATTCTAAAACAGAAGGTTCTCACATTCGAATCTTAAAAATAATGACATTTACTTTTTATACAACTGCCAGCCGTAGGCATTACACAAGCAAGACAGTTCATACAAGCAAGGAGGCCGCAACACTACGGGCGTTATAGTACCAAAGAGGATTAAATCAGGTGAATTAACTTAACTCCAAAATGTGTAATTTCAGACTCGTAAAACTACAGCCAAGCCTCAGATGCCGGCAGAAGAGCAAGCGGCATACAGAGTGTTGACACATAACGTGGACTTAAACAAGATGGGTGAGCGCGACTGGCTCGCCATCGAGGTGGCGATGGGCGGGCGGGATGACCCCGATACGGTATGTACTGAGGTCCCAGCACCAACTTTGAATTTTGTATCTCATCGTCAAAGTTTCTGTGAAAACTAGGCAGCGCCCCTACCGGACGTAAGAACAAACTGGCTTCTGCGATTATGGATCTTTCAAAGTTCGTACTTGGGGTACTGAAAACTCCCTGTGCTAAACGTCAATAAATAAATAAAGTTTCGTGCATTAACCCGTAACTAGTTTAAACTAGTTTTATTTAATGAGTGATGTGTGTGAAAACCTAAGAAACAAATATTTAAATTTGCTTTTTATTTCAGTGTCAAAAAGAAGGGTGCCAATCAAGAGTAAGTTAATTTACAATATACATTAGCGCACAAACATTTTATTTGTTTATTCAATATAATGTTTCACAAAAATTGTTTATTTCACACATTTAATATTCATCTTTAAATTTTATTCCCATTTATTCCCATGGTTATAAATATAACTACATAAAATTCAATGTGGATTAATACAAAACATTTTAAAACAAATTTGGTTTCTGTAGGAATTTAGTTAACTGGGTCAAATTACGCCCAACGACTTTTGAACAACTTAGCTTAAAGAGCCTAAGAAATACCAGAAAGAATTTGACACTGCTATTAGCATAATAGTTAGTGCATCCGCCCGGATAGCGGAGCGTGCGGATTCGACTACTACCTGGGCCACGTGTATTTTTTTCTGGTTAAACTTTAGATTTAAACATCTAGCAGTTAAATGCTTAAAAAATAGAAAAATATGACCACTTAATAATACCTCTTAACTGAAAGACACTCGCAATGGGGATAAATATCGACCGGAGCACCTTTAGCGGCCAGTTTAAATAATGAAACTTCTGTAAACCTTCCGTAACAGGAACCTGACCCTTTTTATTTTATGTTAAAAGGGTGGCAAACATGCGTGCGGCCCGGCTAAAAGGGTGGCAAATAAGCGCACGGCCCGCCTGATGGTAAGCGGCCACCATAAAGGGTGGCAAACAAGCGTACGGCCCGCCTGATGGTAAGCGGCCACCATAAAGGGTGACAAACAAAAAACTCCGGGATGTACCCTCTCCTTGCCGGTGACGACGACGTGAGCTCCTTGTTGGGAATTAACCACGCCGTATCCCCCAGACCCCCTGGAGCTCTAGAACCTTACTCCTTCTCTTCTTGATATGCTGTCTTGATTTTTAAAGAAAATATTACTAGTTTTTTTCCCACACGGTCCAGATTTTAGAGGTGATTCGAACCCGTATCTTCCGCTATGCGGGCGGATACCGGAAGTGGTTTTGTTTCATAACGACATAGTTACTTAATAGTGAGAAATGCAGACTCAGTGCAGATTGGTGCGCCTTAACGACTGCAGATGCAGTCGGGACCAACGGCTTAACTTGCTTTCCAAAGTTGAAAAGCACGAAGTAATAAGTTTTTGGTCACTCATTCCATTACCGGTCATTGTTAAAGTTGCTTGACCTGTCACTTGACCAATGCACCATCAAGCTTCTCATTAAATCAATACTTTAATAGCTTTTGACTCTGCACAGCAGCACCTTAAATTAGTTTTATTGTTATTTTTTTTCTTTTTGTCGTTATGTTATTCTATTATGTTTTTAATTTATGTTGTGTAACCAATAAAATATTTTCTTTCTTTTCTTTTTATTTATTATTACAGTGTTCTAAGATGGCGTGTGATAGCATGGTTCGTATTTTATTCTATCAAAAATGTATTGTAGCCGTTATCACAAAATATGTATTTGTGTACACGTTTATTTTTTTATTTATAAGATTATGATACATGATATGATGATTTAAACATCAAGCAGTTACATGCTTTAAAAATAATAAAAATTATAATTATGATACATATTTTATACTTTTAAATTTTTCCTAATAAATAACGACAAAGTTTGAAAGCATTTTTAAACTAACAGTGACATTGTCATATTGAGATAAACCACTCGCAGTCTAAGTAGTTTACATTGTGGGGCTATGTATGGAATTGTTTTTTTATTGCCTGCGAAGGCAGACGAGCGGACGGGCCACCTGATGTTAAGTGTTCAACGTACCCCTTGGAGATCAGCATTGCCAGTGATGCAGCCATGCCACTGCCTTTCGTGGAACACACTCTTTTAGCCTTTTAGAAACTTCTCCTAAAAAAAAAAATTATGAAGGTAATTTTAATGTCCTCCCTTTTTAATCCACAGTGCTCCGGAGACACCTGTGCTTCTGGAGTAAGTTTATCAAAAGCAATAATGAATGAATGAAGGAACACTGAAAAAATATGGGAAGCGAGGCAAATTATTACCACCTTCATGATGTTAAAAATACATGAATTTTAGCGAATTATAAATTGTCAGAGATTTTATTCAGTCTGCGTTGCTGATTGGCTCTATATTAATTAAAATAGGTAACAGATTTGATATGAATATTAGGGATAGTATATATTATGTGTGTGTAAATAAAATCCGACTTGTACTTGCAGTTTCGTTTACTTGATCGAAGTATTGATTTTAAGTTAATTAAAAAATCTAATTTTATTTTAGTGTCTTGGAAACTCCTGTACTGCCTTCGTAAGTGAGATTTATAAGTTGATTTGCTTTTCAATGTTTTTCCTTTTCATCGTCCACTTTTCTTTGTTATAATATTATTAATGTTTTTTGTACTAACAACATTATGTTTGTGTTCAAAGATGTACTTAATACTTGTCAAAGTATCATTTTGCTAGGGCAAGGAAATAAACATCATCAAGTTAATGAAATTGTGACATTGATTGACTGACGTCTATGAGTACAACTTTAATTCAAATTGTTATTGTATACTTTTACTTTACGTTAATTTTTATTATGTTTCAGTGCAAAGGGCCTGGATGTATGGCAATGGTAAAAACTCAATACATACACTTTAAGCCTCTTTAGCCGTATGATACAGCATGCTAAAGGCATATTTCCATTTATATTTGTAAAAAACAAAAATAAAATAAACAATTTCTTTCGAATTTTTTTTTGGAGATTTTTCAGTATGGAATTAGTACGTAAATCCTAAAAGTTATTTTATTGAATCAATTTATAACAATTAAGTATTGTATCATTTAATTTAATTAATCTCTGTTGAAGATTAATACCCAAAAATGTTATGAACATAAAAGGAATATTATTTTCAGTGCATTGGTGAAGAATGTAATGCTGTTGTAAGTACTATAATCTAAGCAAGAGATTTGGTAAAATATTTGTCGCAATATCCGCAAATGGAAAACTTTGCCTTTGTCCTTCAACCCGGGATATTTTAAAAGCGACGTGAAGAAGTAATGTACAGGCATCCCACCGATTCCGTCGGCCTAGGTACGTCTAAGAGTACCCCGACAACGAAATCACCCGTGCCAACGCGCCTCCGAGTCCTCCCATACAGGTCACAAACTAGCTAAGCATTAGGCAGACACCGCACCCGTAGGATAAGAGTACGAAGATCCGGTCTACACACGAGATGCTATACCAGGTACAGGTTTTCCCCGCCCCCATCGACAACGGCTAACTAGAGCCAAGGTCTGAGTCTCGGAGAGGTCCCCTAGTTGAACCGACCCCCCTCAAATTCGAGTGGTCCAGAGGCTCCATACGAAGAGGAGACTCTCCCCGGGGAGATGCTATCCGCCTAGAATACCTCTAGAGGCACTCGCTAATTCTCGGCTTGAGGTCCCCTAAAGATCTCGCCGTCCCCAAACCTAGTGTCGCTGTAAAGGTCATATGCGAACAACAGCATACACACTAAAAAAAAAAATGTATAGGCCGGCAAGGTTTCATCTTTGTGTCTTTACCGACGCCTGCCATCACAGTAAAATAAGACTACCTTTTGGTAGTATTGTGTTTCTGACGGTGAGTAAGTTTTTCAGGGTTCCACAGTGTTCGACCAAACCTTTTTTATAACTTTTTAATATAATAGTATAAAATACCTTGGCACCTTTTTGACGTGTTTTTAAATTTATAAATATTTATATTTTTATATGTCAGACTGACTTGACACTCTCTTTCATCTTTTCTACTCGTGGCATATGGCTTGTTTATTTCTTTATATCTCTCATATATTATATATCTTGTAGCTAATCCACTGTGTTTTCCTCTCCTATGTTATAATATACAGGATAGGTTTGGGGTCAGGGCAGGCAACGGTGCGAGTGTTAGATTTTGGTATCGCAAGTGTTTATAGGCTATTGTGGCTGCTTATCAGGCTTATCAGGCGAGCCATATGCTTATTTGCCACCGTTTTAAGCACGACACTCCGAAAAGTCAATCAACTTTCAAGTATAAAAGTTGATGCTAGAGTTGCCAAACCTACTATATAATATAGTGCCTTTTTTATAGCTAGGTAGGCAAATGACTACCCCACCTGATGTTAAGTGGTGATAAAGTCCAAACGTGATAAGATGCAAACCTATCCTATTACATGAGGGGATCAAATATACTTCCAGACACACCTATCGGACCACATAAAGGGCCCACTGTAGCAAAAATATAGGTTGCAATGAAAATATATATTTTTTAAAACACCCGAAAAAGATGATTAGTAAATCAGCTTCCAAACTGGGTGAAAACATTTTGATCAATGTAACATTTATTTTAAGCTAAGGACCGTGAAATCAAAAAGTGCTAGCTATATGGCTGAAAGATGTGTCCGGCAGTATAGCATGTTTCTAAAAAATATGGTATTGCGAAACTTCTGTGCATAAGAGGTTTTGCCCGTAATCACGTAAGGCACGGTGGAGTGACGATTTGCGCAAGGTGGCTGGCAGGAGCTGGATGCGAGTAGGCCAAGATCAATCTGAGTGGCGTGCAATTGGAGAGACCTATGTCCAGCAGTGGACTAGGATAGGCTGTTGATGATGATGCGAAACTACTATGACCTATGACTACTATGATATACTAATGACGACCTCCGTGGCCGAGTGGTTTGTACGCCGGGTTTCATGGCGTCGCCGACTCAAGAGCTCCCGGGTTCGAATCCCGGTGGGGGCAGATGTTTGTGTGATGAACACGAGCATTTGTACTTCAGTCATGGATGTTTAATATGTTTTTCTATATAAATATACTTATAAATGTAAAGTATATGTATTCTATCCGTTACCCTAGTATCCCATAACACAAGCCTTACAGTGCTTACTTTGGGGCTAGGCTAATTGGTGTGAGTGTTGGAAATATTTATATTTATTTATTTACTATATTTTGAGGAACGCGGAACGCAGCCTTAATCTTTTTTTAAAGCCCTATTCCACTCTACACAACCCACCGATGTCACGCGAAAACAGCGAAATATTTTAACCACTTTTCTTCATTCTTTTGCCATCTACTATATTTTTTGGGGTAATCTTCGAAAGTACTTTATTTGATAGAAAAACAGTTGGTCAACCTAGTTAATGCTATCACTTTCTTCGCCATAACATAAAATGAGACGGACGGACGTGCATAAATAGTTTGACGTTTCCGAGTATGGCTGTACTTACTTTATAGCATTAGAAGTTGTTCCTAAATTCATAGTCAGGCCGTTGTGCTAGTCGTAAGACGAACAAGTTCGAACATTAACTAGTTTTGGGCCTAAAACTTAATTAATAATGCGTTACTCACCGAAACTCACAACTAATTAGTCGGTTTACGCCAATCTCAAACTAATTACAGTTCTTTGAACTAACAACAGAAACAGTTCGGCTTAACTGCTTTAAGTCGAATTAATGTACATAAATAATGATTTATGTCGATTTATGATATCTGAATCTAGTTAAGGAGCATTTCTTGTCAGATGAGCAGAATTTTCATTAAAATATTGCTACGGTAGTAGTACTGTTGCATTATAATGCGATATGTGTGAATGTTTGTGTATGCCTATATGTTTAGTTAGCATTTATTTTAATTAATTTCAATTGACTACTTACAAAACTTTTGTCTTGTTTTCCGCACAACTTCCCTTATTATTATTATCGTGCTGTCTACTTTTTCCAGCTCATTGCGTTGTCTGGAAGAAATCGCTGATTAGCGATAAGACCGCCCTTTGTGCAACTGTGATTGTTATGCCTTGTATTTGTATTTTATTCGTATTATTTATGTTACTGTTGTGCAATAAAGTATTATTATCTTAATAGCTGTTAAGGCTCTAAGTGTTCAGTGAGTCTGCTGGCCGACAGTCAGCAATTCGATTAATAATTAAAGAAAATAATTAAGCAGCCTCATAATTGTCTAATTAGAACTTTTCTCTCTCAATCAACATTGAAGTTACTAAAAGTAATACATTTCCTATTACGAACTTAAAAACTGACAAGTTTGAAAGATTTCACAAACTTCAAAAGAGTTTCATTCAATACCTACCCATATCAATCTTTCAATGTCAAAAGAAAATCTAACTTACCGTGCAAGATCTTAATAAATCATAAAATACACTTTTGCCACGCCCCGACTTCAAATTACCTCTAAAAGTAGACCTGTTTATCAGTTAATTTTTCATTATATAATGGCTAAATATATAATTTAGTATGCGATGCCGGCTCCACACTTGTTGTACCTATTACATTAATGATTTAATTTGTTTTATGTACACGGATAACTGAAAATGAACGAATAATTTACTGAAATCTAGTACTTACGTGTAAAATTAAGTACGTATTTTTCTATTTAAAATGAGGTTATATTTTCAGTGTCAAGGTGTTGCATGTGATACAAGGGTAAGTTTTGTGTACTATGGTAGTGTAGTCAGATCTTGGTGTTAGTTTTTTAGTACGAATCTTTAGTAGCTTCTTTTCTTTCTCGTCGGGAGGTTCTTTGATCAAATAAATGATTAAATGATAGATAAATGAATAAATGGCATTAGATAGAGATAGATACTAATACGTTTATTGATTTCTACAACATAAATATATATAAAGGACAATGTTAAAATTGGCCTAAGAACCAACACCAATGGCATTTATGATAATTCTTAGTATATTTTTTTCGATATTGTATTTAGATTGTGACGGTCACTTCCAGTTAAGTAAGCTATATTAAAAAGTTAAAAAAATAATCTGAGACAATAACTACCATTTTGTGTATAATCTATGACAGCGCTGAAACAAAACACTCTTTCTTCCTAATGCCGGCTCTTCACTTGGCTATTCGTGTGTGCTATTTGAAAACTAGACATCAGTCTGTCCTTTTCATTCCTTATTAAGCATGACAAGGACAGGCCGTTGTCAAGTGAAGGGCTGGCGTAAAACTCGATACTCTGTGGTTGTGGTGCAGGCAGTTTGCATTCCTAGTAATCTGTGGCAGTCGTGCATTCTTGTTTCGGATTACCTGTGGTATGTGTTTATTTGCGATTGTTTTTCCTTTAATTTAACTATTTCGGCTTTCCAACAGACTTGATATCTTGCTATAGCGATTACCCGGCTCTAAATTACGGACTTTGTACCTTGCTTTAACGATAACTCTGCATTCCTATTGGACTCACGATTTGACGCAATGGAATCTACATTTTTTGCTGCCGGCAAGTACAGATGAACGATATCATTATAAAGAATGGCTTCAGACAGCGGATGCGATGGAATTAAATGAGTGGCTCAGCTAGTGGTTCCATGGTGTTGGATGACGAACAGATTTTTCATTGTTATTTTAATACAAAATATAGATGACTAGTGGCCCGCCCTCGCTTCGCTTCGGTGTAAAGCTGTAGTGTAGACTATAGTTTTTGTTCTCAGGCTTGTATTATACACAATGACATTCTTCTAATACCCAATTACAATAGGCACGCGCCCCCAAGCCCGGTAGCGTCGGAACCGATATGTACCTGAATTTTAAATTTGTAATATTTTCGAAATTTTTTTGAATATTTATATTCATTTAAATTATATGCATTAAAGGGCCAAATTGTTCTATATTAAATGCACAATGTATGTATTTAATGTACTTAATTGGATAAGGATGAATGTTATATTGCTTAAAATCGCTTCGTAAATAATCTATTATTTCTCGTAAAAAGTATAGGATAAAAATTGGTTATTGTGGGTTATCCTTAAGAGATAGACATATACCATCGCGGACTTTTTTGTAGACCTTTTTAAGGTGTACAATACTGTAGTACATTATTTTGATCTATCTCGTGGGGTTCAGCCAGCGTTTGCAATGTAAGCGCAAAAAATGTGTTTATTTACGACCTTACATTAAAAACCTCTAAAATTATCAGTGTTTCTCTACTATATTATGCATGTATTATACATATAAACCTTCCTCTTGAATCACTCTATCTATTAAAAACCGCATCAAAATCCGTTGCGTAGTTTCAAAGATTTAATCTCACATACAAAGGGACATAGGGACAGAGAAAGCGACTTTGTTTTATACTATGTAGTGATATTGCATAAAAGATACCTATATTAAGTGAAAAATAGTCAATAAATAAGAAGCAAAACTACAGTTTTTATTTTATTCATAATTCCTACCTAACCAAGTTTTTCCTAATAGCTATTCTTTAAAATAGTACCGAATAAAAATTAATTAGTTGTAATATTAATTCACTTCATACTAAGTTCATAGGTTGACCTATGTTTCATTTAATATTAAACATAACCTCAAAAATATTTGGTTTTCCTGATAATTTAAGTTCTCACAAGTGTTCGTCAATACTCTTTGTTTTCACAGTCATTTACTTGCAATTTCGAACCTAGAAAATAATATTTCATGATTGTTGGTTCTTAGGCTAACAATGTATGGACGCAAAACAATGTCCTTTTAAAAGTAACGAAATATAAGTAATCAGCCATAAACACCCATATATGCTGCAAAGCCAAAAGGTCAAGGCTCGGCTAAACAATTGCATACTTTGAGGCAAATCACCGATTTTCAGCCACCACCATTTTGACACATTACTAGTAGTACTTTTAAATACTTAGTCGATGATATAACTGCTTAGTATTATAATTATTTCGCCCTATTGTTTTTCTGTCACATATCATTTTAATATCGCAATATCAGGCCCAGAATGAAGAACTAATTTTCGGATCGCGCACGAAACTTTGAAAATAGTTTCTTTGATTTGCAGTGCCGCGGCAAAGGGTGCGAAGCGAAGGTAATTCGTTTATTTATATTTCTTTTACAATTATTATGATTTAAATCTATTGTTGATACTACCAATTTTGGAAATAGTCGGTTTTTTTGACTTTTAATAAAGCTAATGTATTATATTGCAGTGCAATAAGCTGTCATGTAGTGCCACGATAAACGGAGCGATTCAGAAATACACTGGTGGAACTTTCGAAGACCAATACCCAGGATTGTAATTTTTAATAAATATTTTTTGTCAGTATTCTATGTTATGGTTTTACTTATATTAATGAATTATCATTATTTTATACTGCCACCCACCATGGCATCTTTACCTACAATGCGAAGAGATGGCGCTGCCTTGCAGCTAAAGAAAATTCGACACGGCCGCGGTAGCATAATGGTCATTGCATTCGCCCGGATAGCGAAGGGTGCGGGTTAGAGTCCCGTCTGCTGTCTGGTCCGCGTGGAATTTTTTCTACTTAAAATTTTCTTTAGTGTCACCGCACACGGGCCACACGCCACAGCCACAAACGCCGCCACGAGAAGCTAGAAGCGGCTACTAAAGTGGCTTAAGCGCGCGACAGCGGCCGACTAAGGCACGGGGGAGAGGGTTGGGGAATCGCGCGAGTGACGTGTGGCGGCGTTTTGTATCGGCGCATTAAGGTGCTTTGCAGATGACGGGGCGGGGCGGGCTTTTTGTCCGCGAAGCAATAAAAACCGCGTCTGCCCGTCGATGTCTGCGGCTGCCCTCGCCGCGTACACAAAGCACACGACGGGCATAGGCAGTCAGTTCAGGATGTTCGTTCCAGTGAATAGTCCATCACTAAAAAGCGCGTGGCGCGGTCTGAGCCAGCCACCCCGCGCCGCCGCGCCGTCTGCGTTACTGCATGTAAACTGGTTTGTATGATCCACGGCGGGCCGCCAGTGCTCGCCGGGCACCTGCGGCGCGGTCTTTTTGCCCTCTGTGTGCGTTTGTAGTATGGGAATCACTTTGTGCTATCGTTCGCGGCGAAATTGACCGGCCCGTTCCGCCCCGCCATTTGCAAAGCGCCTAAGTGGCCGATGTGGACCACAAGAAGCGAGCAACGACGATTTGTAGCGTGTGGCGGCCACCGGCGTACCGTTTGTGGCGAGTCCATATGAAATGTATGAAAACTACAAGAAATATGCCGGTGAAGGCGTTTTGTGGTTGTGGTCGGTAGCCCGTGTGTGGCGACACTTAGATTTAAACATCTAGCAGTTTTTTATTCTTATTCCTTTTACTATGAAGGTATAAGGCTATACATATAAAATTATCACCAGCCAGTTATATTAAAAACCCTATCGCGAAAAGGATTTTTTTTGGGGTTTACAATGCAGCCGGGACCAACGTCTTAACGTGCCTTCCGAAGCACGGAGACGCTCAAGATAATAAGTTTTGGTGCAGGAATTTAGGCAACTTTCGCAATGGTCGATCATTGGAAAGGATCATTTGAAAAACTTAATAATAATAATAAATATTTCTAACACTCACAACAAATTAGCCTAGCCCCATAGTAAGCACTCTAGGCTTGTGTTATGGGATCCTAGAGTAACGGACAGATATATAGATAGTTAATCGCTTATATAACACACCACATTATATTTGACAAAGTTAGGACAATAATTTAAAATGGTGGACAGTTCGCACCATTCTGCTCAAATACGCAATAAATCACATCAATCTCCCACATACTTACTTATAGACTAAGTGGTATTATTACAATTTCATCTTATAATACAACTGTCTTGGCTAGATGGATACTTGGATGTTGGCCACCGTCCAAGAACTGAAACTTGGCACCAGGTAAAGGAGTTCCCACTCATTTAACGAGATTTGTAGCCACAATTCTGTTGCATTGCAATATTTTTAAAATTCTATCGCATTAAATATCAGATTGGAGTACGGCTGCGTTGTTTTTAAAAGATTTATAGTCCATTCATTTGAGAGTGTCTTGATTTAATACTTATTTTACTCCATCGACATACTTTGGCTAGTTTTATTTATGCCTATATAAGGTAGACGGGTTTGATACCAACTATCATTATGCGAACGGCTAGGGAGTGGAACTCCTTGCCGAGGTCTGTTTTCCCGGACTAATATAATCTGGACATGTTCAAGGCCAGAGTGAAGAGGCATCTTCGAGGCAGGCGAGTACCATCTTAGGCCTCATCATCGCTTTCCGTTAGGCGAGATTGTGGTCAAACGCCTTGCCTATTAAACATTAATAAAAATAAAAGTTATTTATATGACTTACTAAGTTGTTAAATAAAATGTCCTAAATGTCACTGAATGGTGATTTTGACAATAGTTATTTCTGATATTAGTGTGATAAGTTGGTTATTACAAACAAGTAGACGAATGTAAGCCCGGGAAGAAATCGAGGGTTTCCCATGGCCACGAAAAAGTAAATACCAATTCCGAATGAATTTCATGCAAAAAAATAAATTAAACACATTTGCGGGCAAACAGTACCTAACTTAATTTAGAAGTAAACTTATCCTGATAAGAAAATAGCACGCGTTTCCAAATAGTGCCAAGCGCGGATGGTGAAAATTAGAACTACATCTTTCGTCTCTTTTTTTTAGTATTAAAGTAAAACAAAGGTATAGTTTAAAAACGTTTCAACGTTTCGATAGATTTTTTATATTAAGTACTTGCAACATTATAGTAATAATAATAATAATAATATTTTATTCGCCACCTCAAAATACCTCCAGTTGTTAAAAAGATTTTCATCATCATCAGCCTATTATGTCCCCACGGCTGGGGTACAGGCCTTCACTATGGATGGAATAGGGAGATTGGGCCATGACCAACCACGCGGGCCCAGTGCGGATTGGCGGGTGCTGACTACTGCAGATGCAGCCGGGACCAACGGCTTAACTCGCCTTCCTTAACGTGCACGGAGGAGCTCGAGATAGTAAATTTTTGGCCACCCATCCAAAGACCGACCACTGCGAAGGTTGCTTAAATTCAACGATCGCAGCCGAGCGCGCTAACCACTTTCGCCATCGAGCTCCAAGGATAAACCCAAATAAAAAAATCCGTAACGGATACCCACGACGCCATATATGAGGTCGTGAGGTAAAATATTACACCGCACGCTCCGTTGTATGGCCCGTAATTTTTAACTATCGAACAATGTATACAACCTCCGATAATGCATATTTTGAGAAAATGTGTTGAATACTTTTTATTTCATCTCTCAGGTAGATTATCAAAAAGTATTCGACAAATACTTTTCGTTAAAAAAAACGACACGTATTTTTCTTTTTTCAAATAATCAAAACATAGCAGAGTTGTATCGCTTTGAAATATCGCATGACGTAGACTATTTTGACTGAGAAGTGACGTCCCGAGCCCCGAAGTGACTCCCAAACTTTGACGCGCTTTATTTTGATATTTTTTTGATTGATTGACAAAACAAAATATAACATAGTGTCCTAAATGACGGACAAATGGAATTTCGTTTATTTTACCCTGTTATTATTTAGATAAAGATAATATGATATATGAGTAGCTTGATTGTGCAAGTGGTTAACAAGTTTAGTCTACTATCGTGCATGGAAGAAAAGTTCCTTTCGCACTGGTCGTACATCGGATGGGTGACCAAAAATAAATCAACACTTCCGTGCTTCGAAAGGCACGTTAAGCCGGTAGTCCAGAGCGCATCTGCCCTCGTTAGCACCCACCAATCCACACTGGGCCCGTGTCGTGGGCCTAATTTCCTATGGCCTATAATCAGCAGAAAGGTCATTAAATAGGCTGGTGATAACGAAAGGGGGTTTTTTTATAATTATATTTACTTTAGATTTAAAATCTGTTAATTAAATGATAAAAAAAATATTTTCCATTAAAATATACATAATATTACTCTTAGCCGAGCTTATATCTTATTTTGTACCTTTGTAACTAAATCCTCTACCCGGGAAACCGTTACAGGAAAGCGGACATGTGGTTTGGTTTAGTTTACGAATACGACAGCAAGGAAAAAAAAGCTTTAAGAAAAAAAACAAAAAACCGGTCAAGTGTGTTTTGGACTATCACACGAAGGGTTTCGTGCCATTATCTATACAATATTAGCGACTATATTATAATAGTGATCCGTGCGGTGACGGAGAAAGAATACAACTCACCGCCCCTTCCCGTGGGTGTCGTAAGAGGCGACAAAGGGATATCGGAGCTTCCATCCGCTCTGCTGGTGGTAGGGTGCCTAACACCCGCCTGGTTTGTTACCACCGTGCGCATGGTGAAAAACCCGTGAAGTGCTTCTCGCGCGTTTCGGGGTCAGCCAGCGTACAACCAGGGCTCGAGTGGAGGTTGTCGCGACGGATTCGGTCCAGGGCTAGGCATCCGTGGAACCGATGCCGGGAGGACTGCATCGACCCGCCGGCCAGGGAGACCCGTAGAAACGGCTGTCCCGCTGGCCGCCCGTGGCACAGTACAGGGGCCCGAGCGTTCCTAACCAGTTCGCGAGGCTGCCCCATCATGTCACGCATAATCTCGGGGTGGACCGTCGTGCCGGTTGGTGACCGGGGCGTGGGGTCCCGGCGGCCACTTCCGGGGGGGTGCGGGGGCCCTTCCGTCCGGCGGGCCGGCGTATATCCTCTGCAGGCAATCATTCGGGGAAACATGCCTCCCTAATTTGCCCGGTCTTGTCGCGACAACGTCCACTCGTTTCACGTCTCTTTTTCACTTCCATAATGGCAGCTCCTAAAACAAAGTTTGGACGTTCAGCGGTGCACACCCCCACGCCTTCAACGCTGTTTGAGGTCGAGTTCTGCAACATACGCGGACTCCACTCTAACCTCAACGCTGTCCACCACCATCTTGAGACAGCACGGCCAGCATTGTTGTTCCTGACGGAGACACAAATACTTCCGCCTGCTGACACAGGCTACCTTAATTATCCCGGCTACGTGCTTGAAGAGTCCTTCAAAGCGAAAGCCGGTGTATGCCTGTATGTTCGGGCGGATGTTTGTTGTCGCCGTCTCCGCTGCTTGGAAGATCCCTCCTTCTCCAACAGATCCCACACCGGCGATGTTGAGACAACTCGACTTTTTGAACACCTTAGTCGGGCAGCAGATGACGCGCAGGAACAATTTCCCAATGCAGAATTGGTGTTTTTGGGGGACTTTAATGCTCACCACAATATGTGGTTAAGTTCCTCCAAAACTGACCATGCAGGGATCTCTGCTCACGCATTCGCTC